TTAAAAGGAGATTATGTGGAAAAATAAAATTGAATTTGACCGAAAAATTACTTGTTTCTATGTTAGGCTCAAAACTTTTCAGACGACCCTCGTATGTTGGGGAGGCTCCCCTAAAGTACATAATTACCATGCAATTTTGGGAAAATTAGTATAAAATTAAAAAATTATGGCATACATTGTCAAATCTCATTATACTTTACGTATAAGGTATATCTACCACCAAGTGTCACTGTATAAATTTGAGCATTCGATTCACTTGGACAAAAGTTATGCTCAAAAAATCGAAAGGTGATATAATTTTGACCGGTACTATGTACTCGATAAAACCAACTTGTAAATTATACTGAAAATTCTCCTTTTGTATATTGATAATTAATAAATAACCATATATCTGGAAATGAATTATGAATAATCAAAAATGAAATAAGCTATGTTTACAACTACGTCAAACTGTTAAATTAATAACGTATAGAAATAAATATGATTTAATTTTTTATTGAAACAAGAAGTTTTCAATATTTTAGAATTCTATCCTATCAATAGAAAATGTTTTATTGAAAAATGTTTTTTTCAAACAAAATTAGGAAGAATTTTTATTATGTATTTCCTTGCTTTTGACGTTGTAATCTGAGATAGTAGTGATAAAATAACAGCCTTATGAACACTGTTCAAACATTCAAAAATTATTACTTAAAAATAATATTATATGTTATAATGTTATATATTATCAGGAGAAACAATAGAGTGCCTCGAGTAAACATACCATCTTTTTATGGTATAAGTATGTATTTATGATTCTCGAGATTCTCCGGCCTACAACATTACCGCATTCACGCACACACATATACTCACAGATAAGTTAATATAAATTATATAAAAATTACTGAATTTAAGCTGCAGTAATACATGCAGCATGACATTCATTGTTATCGTATTGTCTGAGACATATGCAGTGGCGTCAACATTAACTCAAAAGCAGCATCTTTTAAATTTGCACCGCGTAAATTTGCATCTTGTAGATCAGAACCAGATAAATCACAGCACTAAAAAAATAGCATGGGTATGTAAGTACATATAAGTATAATAACAAATAAACAAAATTTTAAGGAATGTATTAAAATTTTTAGTTTAAAATACAGTATGACGAGATAAAAATACCTCTAAATCGGCACCGGCTAAAACAGCTGATCTCAAAATGCAATTCCTAAGAATAGCATTTTTTAATGTAGCTACTCGGAGGTTGACGGCTGCCATGTTACTGCCTTCAAGATTTGCACCTTTCAAATTTACACCTTCCATATTTGCTGGCAGACCCCCAGGATCTTCAAAATTACACGAATGCAGATTGGCTGCAGCTAGATTTGCACATGACATTTTTACGCACACAAGTTGTGCGCCTTGCAAATTGGAATGGGATAAATCAGCGCGCTCAAAGCAGCATCCTGATAGATTAGCACCTGCCAGACTACAGTGATGCATAATGGCGTACTATAATATAATGAAAAGCAGGTAAACACAGTTAAGGATTTTTGTTAGAACTATTTCTATCATCTAATTTGGGCAGTAGCGCATAATGCGATTTTTCATTATTACATGTATGTACTTTAGAAAAATTCTAGAAACACACCATACAATTATAGACTGAGCGCTACATCTGACGATTACGTTGAAGGATCGCATATAATTTAATGCAAAAAATGACATTATACGCTATTAGCTTATTCTATCCTTTAAATTATGAAAATAAACGTACCTTAAAGTTAATATTTCTAAGATCTAATTTCGAAAGATCGGCTTTTACAAAATCAACTCCTTGGAATCTAAGTTCTGCGTTAGTTGGTGTAGACATAATTGCTTTAAGTACATCTTTGCGAGTTAGAGACACGAGACCTTCCTTTTGCAGTTCTTCTTTTTCTAACATTGTAGTAAGGATCCGAATAGCGCCTTCAATGCCATAAAAACAAGCTTCTGCTAAAACTCCTGTATCAAAACATTAGTCTTATTATAATAAATATGTCAATAGTATAAAAACGTAAACAAGATTCATATATACCAGCTACATTAACATTAGAATCAAGTATTATTTGACCATGTCTCAAGTAATTTAACAATGGTTCAAAATAAGTAGGACTTCTATCAATTAGATATGCTCCACTATGATCCTGTCTACTTGGTTGTATAGCATGCTCACTAATTCCAGTTTCTGTAAACATTCTATATAAAATGTTGTATTACATTATTACATTATTTTATAAAACAATTTTCTCTTTTTTCCTCATTCATACCCTATATTTAACGGCCCGTATTCAGAACGCGCTTTTATCGAAGCGCACTTTTATCTCTGAAATTCTATAATATACGTGACGTAAAGTATAGTATGTAGCGTGCTAACATCGTTGTAAGCGCGTTCTGAATACGGGCCAACATGTAGATTTGATACTCAACAACTAGTTTTTATACTTAAATTATTGTAAACTGTATAAATTATTGTAAATTATTGTAGATTTTATTTATAATCAACTTTAAACCTTAAATCAATGTTAGTTGCTAAATTACAATTGCAAACTGTATGGAATGTATTATAAAAAGTGACGACACTGAATCAATGTAGGATACTCACAGTATATCTTTTTATTGTTTAAAAAGTATCGAGATATACTCTCTGTTCAAAAAGTACTCGGAATTTTTAAATGAAACGCAAAATTTTAAATTTAAATATAAATTTATTTTATCCCATTCAAAAATCTATTCGAGGCTATATACATGTGCCAGCGAGTAACCCACTTTTCGTAACACTTTTCATAGGCTCCTGAAGATATAATAACCTTTAGTCCCTTCGTTAAATTTTCTTTTATGGAATCAAAATATTTTTCCCGTAGAGTGATAATTTGAGTTTTAAAAATAAAAAAGTGCCATATCAGGTGAATACAGTGCATAGGCGATGATTGGTCAAAAAGTCACGTACAAGAGACGGCGTGTGCGACAGCGCGTTATCATGCTTTACCCCGCATCTACAATAGGTATTTTAAGCCATAAGAAATTGATCAATTACAGTCGAGTGCGAGGAGAATAATCGACCATGATTCGTCCATTTCTTAAAAATCTATTGTAGATCCGGACTTAGAACCAATTGCGCTTGAATTGGCTTCACGAAGAAAGACTAAGAAGACTCCACTCAGTCTAGCCAGTCCTCGATAATCGGACCTATTATGCGTTTCGAGTTAAGTTTCGATTCTCGACACTCGCGGCGCTTGTGAACCTTTAAAGACCTGCGCGTAATGAGTAGAGTGGCATTGTGTGTTCTCCGGAAATATCCAGATTCTTCTTCGAAATAAATTCGGAGATAAAAGTGTTTTTCAGGAAAAAAGTCCTGGAAAGACTTTCCTTGTTTCTTGTTTCTTTCTTCCTACCATATCTAACTACAGCGCATTCATTACGCGCTTGTAAATACCTATTGTAGATCCGGACTAATAGCTCCGGCAACCAGCGCGATGTTCGTCGCGCGTGATACGCGATATCCAATGAGAGTATACCTTTCGAATGAAAACATCGATAAAGCTGTACACTCATTGGATATCGAGTGTGAGCATCGTTTGTCTTCGTTTAACATTTGACAAACAACAAGGATAAAATAATTTTTAGTCCGAATCTACAATAGGTGTTGTAACGATGCACCCCCATAACTGCATCGTTCCCGGCAATGCCAACTCGCCGGATGCCGCTACGGTGACCCCCCGGTCACCGTACGCGATGAGAGCGCGGTGCGCTCGAAACATTTAAGAAACGCAAACATAATTACAGGCCGCGCGAACTCGCAAGTCCGCGAAATCCGAACATCGCCGAACGACGCCGAACGCCGCAGCTCTCGC